TTCCACCTTTTTCTACTATTTATGAGCAATGGAGCAACTTCTATATGACAGAAATAAAAGTAGTCTTCAACCTAATTACTGTAATTGAGCTTGCAATTAGTCTTAAGACCTAGCGGTCATTAATTGGGACAAAGTGTGAATGTGCCAGATTTTACACTTTTTGTCATGGCTGTTAAATGAACTTATTGTTGAACGGGTGTTTTTTTTTTTTTTTTTTTGCCAAAAACTGCCAAAAAAATGCCTGAAATTACAGTCCTATGACTACAGGATGCTGCAGCTTTAAATGTGAACTGGCTGTCACATGCCCAAAATGCAATCACACGACTGGTGGGGTGTAATTGGTTGGCAGAACTTCGGAACCGAGTCCTAAGTAGCTTTGGGTAGGTCCATAACTTTGAACAGTCACTAAGTGACCAGTCATTAAACAAGGACTACCTGTACTTTAAATGTAATACTCAAAGGATATGATGTAATAACTTGCAGTTTTAAGGAGCCTGTAGAAGTATACAATTTAATAAATGCAAATTAATCTAAAATAAAAAGAACATTATCTTACTTTAACAACCACACAACTGCAACCCACAACTTTACGAGGTTTTCCTTCTCTGTCGATCTTGCAGAGACCTACCCACTCACCAAGCTTCTTGTTATCATCAACCTGTTAAGAGAGATTTGCATTTTGTTAGAAGTGCTAATATAAGGCAGTAAATACAGAATCAAAAGTAGCTGCACACTCAGACGGACAGGGTAACAATTTGTGGGTTTTTTCCTCACAATTTTCAGTAGAGGGAGCCAAGTTATCATCACTGTACAGCATAAACAGCACTAACTTGTTTTAGCCAAGACATCCTGAACAGTTGCATGATTTTACTATAAACTACTTGACTGTCTCGTATTACCACTTCTAAATAAAATAGCTGTTACCTTTATTAGATTGATCTGATGTTCAGCACAAAGAGCTTCAACCAGCTTGACATACATAGGTTCGTCACAATTGGATGCAAGAACACAAAGATGGGCTTGACGTCTAACATGGAAAAAATATCATATAGAATTGTTAAGCTTATCTACATTTGTTTCCTTAACATAGCTGTTTGGATTAAATTGTTATTTGTAAGGTAAAAGATATGAAGACAGAGGGGATTGCGCCCATAAAACCCAAGTCATAATTTTCAAATCATTTCCTAGTTGTGCTTTACCTAGAGAAATAGATTTTGGGAAGGTGGTATAGAAAGCTGAAAAAAAAAGGGTAGAGCTAAAATGTTTCTATGAAGCTATATGTTTAATTCAAAATTTTAATACTAAGTCATTGACTAGAAATATCTTAATGAAAGGAAGTGTTCATACAATTCTAAAATTAAAACCAGTTATCATTCAACTGTTGCATTTTAAGTCTTTTTTTTAAAATCCATTTGTTTACTACCTAGAAGTGGGTAAACCTAGCATAACCATTTAGTCATTCAAAGAATGACCTTTAAGGTTATTATTATTATTATTCGAATTTATATCCCGCCCTTCTCCTTGCGGACTCAGGGCGGCTGACAATCAATTAAAAACACCAATAACAATCACAAAATTAAAATTAATTAAAATGAAATATTTAAATTGTCTAATTAAAATATGATTAAAAACCACTCTAAAAACCCCTCTTAAAAATTGCCCTAGGCCAGTCCCGCTTGTTGGAATAACCATGTCTTGAGGGCGCGGCGGAAGGAAGGGAGATCAGGGATCACCCTGATCTCTGGGGGTAGCTCATTCCAGAGGGTGGGAGCTCCCACAGAGAAGGCCCTCCCCCTTGGGGTCGCCAGCCGGCACTGTCTGGCCGACGGCACCCTGAGGAGACCCACCCTGTGGGAGCGTACTGGCCGATGGGAGGTAATCTGTGGC